TTAATAAATTACAACTGACACCAATGCTATCTGTCTAGTCAATTAATGTCAAACATTTACTGTACGGAAATGGCTAATCATACCATTATTATATCCATATTGATGCTTGAATCCAATAGTTTCAAATTGTCAGTCATATGAAGAAGAATCCTGAGAACTTTTACATGAAAGTCAGAGAAAATTCAAGAAAATTAAACTGACAACCATCAGCTATTTTTAAGATTAATAATCTTTGAAAAAGTTCAAATATTATGATAGACTGATGTCTAGTGAATTAGAGAATGAAGAAAAATTTTTTAATTTTTTTTTTTTTTTTTTTTTTTTTTTTTTTACTTTTACACTATAAATTATTCTAAATTTAAGATGATGGGCTTTCATTTCTATCAATTTGTTTTTCTTGCCTTATGTGGCATTTCACAGATGTTTTACTTGGGTAACTTCCCTTTGTAAGAACTCTTCTCAAATCCACAGTCACTGTTCTTCCTTTGTTGGTAAATTTGTGATTGAATAATAATATAAATTAAAAGGCTTTTCATTCCAGTTCGATAAAACTGTTCTTTGTTGATGATATTCTGCCTTGCAGGCTTCTTTTTTCTTTTTTTCTGTTTTTTTTGCACTTAATCTTTCCATTTTCTTTTTCTATTCTTAGCTCTTTCATTTAGAAATACTTTGGGAAGATGGGTGGAGATATACTCAGCCAATCAATTTCAAGCTATAAGTTTCTTTTTTGGCAAGGCCAGTAGTAACAAGATTTTACTGTTTAAAAAGCTGTGTCTAATTTTGTTCACCATTCACATACTACTTGACGGTAATACAGTTTTGAGTTAAATTTGAGTCAGAAACACTTGGGGAAAGATTATAAGTAACATTTATTTTTTTTTCAAATTCATGATGGATAACTGAAGATCAGAACAAGTCTTTTTCTTATTCATTTAATTTTGCAAGTATTTAATGCTATTCACCACACAAATCTGGTTGATAAAAGATTTTTAATTGTAACAATAAGTGTCTCATTGTGCAGTTGGACTGCTATGAAATACAGTAAAATGGAAACAGATTTATTTTTACCTTTTTAGTAAGATTTTCTATTTTGGTAACAGTCTGATGCATAAACCATAAATGAGTGAAAATTTGAAATACGTTCTCTTAAGTTTAATTTCTGGTCAAGGATTATTATTGTTTTGTTTCCCATGGTACTAGAACTTGAATACAGGATACTTATATTATTGACTATAAAATTATGGAAATTATAATTTATTATTGATATAGAAAATGAAAAATGCTTTTAATGGTCTGAAAAATTAATATAACCTCATGACAAAATGATTCTACAGATAACAAGGTTTTTGGGCTGCATTATCATTTAAACATTGTCCATCACTGCTTAGATTGGTTTTTAAAATAAAAAAAAAAAAATAGAACTTGCATGTGCATAAAATCCATTTTCATGCCACTGCCAATGGTCTGCATTTGATTTCTTTCAATGCATGATTTTTACAAGACATTTTCAAGATGCTAATTTAATTGGATTCTACAATTACAAAAAGAAATCTTAAAATAATTCTGCAATAATAATTACCTGCTTTTTGGGTTTTTTTTCATCTTTTTTTTCTGTTTCAGATAAAGGCATTTTTTTTGTTTGTTTGTTGTTTTGTTTCTTTAATTTTGTTGATAGAAATTCTTTATCTCTGCTCGAATGAAAAGGTTCTGGATTAAATTCTTACCTACAAAAAACAGAACAAAACAAAAAAAAAACAATCACAGTTTGACCAAAAGAATAAAAAGTTATATGTATTTGGTGTAGATTGATCAGCAATGTTGCCTTTTAGTTTAGAGAAAGAAAACCATTTAAATTTTGAACATTAATTATTTATTGACAGAAATAGTTGGAAAAAAATGTTCTTTTTATAGCAACAGTTCTTGTCAAATCATAAGCACATGCACAAGTGTGTGTGTGTGTATGTATATATATATATATATATATATATATATAGGCAGCAACCTATCATTTAAATATCTTTCATTAGATGTGATGGACAAGGAAAATTTTACTAATTTTTTATTTAGTTTTTCTAGTGTTCTTACATTATTCTGTTTAGTAGGAGTGAGGGAGTTGGAAAATTGTTCATATTATCTATTGTCCAAAGCACTTTTGACCACTTCCTTCCTTTAAAAGGGCTAAGGAAATGGACATAATCACTTGGGACAATGTACAATATGGGCAGTTTTTGTACTCATCACTCCCACCAGACAGAAAAATGTAAGAACATTGGAAAAACTAAATAAATTAATAAAATTTCCCTTGTCTGACATATTTAACAAACAATACATAATATGAATAAAATCAAAAGGAAAACTTAGCTGGTGCATTTCATCCTCTGAGGGACTTTATCAAGGCAAATGCCTTTACTGGGATAAAGTCCTTCAGAGAACAAAGCACGTCGGCTAAGATAAGTTTTCCTTTTCTTTATATTCATATTGTCATTTTACAGATATACTTTATCTCAAATTTTTACACACACACACCCACCATGAGCGTGTATACATTTTTTACTTGCATGTATTCATGCATGAAAACACATATGTATATGCATTTACAGATATAAATACGAAATAGATTAAACAGATATTCACACATACACACGCGAAAATATATATATATATATATACACACATACATGGACAGAGACATATATATAAAGTACATTTAGAAAGCAAAAGTTCTTTTAACTAAGTTTTGTTAAACACTAACAGCAAGGTCTGTCTGTAATTTGGAAGGTTTTACAATGTTTTGGTCAACCTTTTTTTTAAAAACACAATCATTGTTATATATCAAATGTTTCATAAATATATATATATATATATATATATATATATATATATATATATATATAAATAAAATGTTTAGTATGTAATAGATGATGTTTTAGGTGTATTAATCATTATTATAACTCTTCAGTGTACAGTCTGCTTGTTTTTACTTTTGTTTTCGTAATATTTCAGTCACGTCTTCTCACATTATCCTCAAATGATTTTCCTGTCCCAAGTTGTTTAAAAGAATTATATCAGAATTCAGTTGCATTCTCTCAATCAACTGAGCTCACACAAGAGAATACATTGACCAAAATATTACTCAAGCAAAGCATTAAAATATTTTCACAATTACCCTGGAAATTTTCATTCACAGTCCTTTTTTTTGCCTTTTATTTCTTTCCTTTTTTTTTCTTTTGTCTGTTGATTGTTTCATTTACTCATTTTAAATTTGTTTTTCATTTGTTTTAAATAAAGGGAACTTTTACGATTGTTATATTTAATTTTTATTTTTTTATTTTTCAAATTTATTTTCAATTTCTTTGCATCAACAAGATGACAAAATGTTTAGTTTTACAGGTTGGACATTTTTATTCAAATTAACCCATGTAAAAATCAGTTTTTTTTTTTTGCAGTTGGAGAGGGGGTGCTTTTTTTTTTCCAAAATGTAATTTCTGGAAGTAATATAAACACTTGATAATCATTATCTCACCAAGAGAGTGAAGAACTCCCTATGAGAATAAAAATCCCCAGTTGTCAAGCTTAGTAAATATAGAGTTGCCTTAATGTCCAGATTTTTATTAGATGTTTGTCCATTTAAGTATTGTGATCCTGGTATTACAAAAACATACCAAATTATAATAGCTGCTTTAAGATTAGTGTCATGGTGTATGATGGGTGGAGACAGGATGTCTTTGGAAATGCCCATTTTTATTTTTTATTTTAATGTTCAGATATGGCAATTTTAATTACCCATTATTATAAACAATATATAAATCTGAAATTAGTACACTAATAAATTTAGTGTACCGGTTAGTGGAAATTCAATGAAATTCTCAAGTCAAATGTTATTGCTTTTCTTTATGATATTCACAAAGCTCAAGGATTACTCATGGTAGCCGGTTACTGAAGGCAAATGGTTAACCTTACACTACCAGTGCAACCACCAGGGCCTCTCCCACAGGGATAACTCTAGCAGGGACATTCTCAGAAAAGGTTATGATTGTAGTTCTCAGGAAAGCATCCTTCTAGGATTCTGTTATACAAAGCAACAGGTCTTGGGAAGAAGCTGTCTGAGTGAAACTTATTCCTTACTAATGGAATATGAAGGGAATGAGGGTGATTCACCTCTATGTACATGACATGGTGGGTCTTAGCTGAGAGGGTTAGAGTTGGGAGAACCAAGGAATTTAACTCCCCTGAACATTTTACTTGAAAATAGTGATAGAGTAGTGAGAGGCTTGCAATATAATGTTTGTGGGAACATGGATTGTAACGTGGGAAACAATTCATCATCCACAATGCTGTATAGATGCTTTTGGACTCTATCAAGACTGGAAAGAAGACTGGGCAGCTTCAGCCCAGATATAATACCAGTACTCCATTTTCAGCTTGATCTGACTCTTGTAGAGGATAGTAGAAGACATCTGGTACTTACCAAATTGGTACAGAGAACCAACCTTTTTTTCAGCATCTTTACCAATAGATCATAATGTCAAGTTCAGCTTGAGGTCTGGGGTGAGCTTTAATACCCTACTTGAGTGAAGACGCATTCATCTCTTATATTGATGGGGAATTCCTTGCTAAACTTTTTGAGGTTAAGTCTTGCACTGTTTTTTTATATTTGAGGAACAAGTATTCAATGTCAAATTTTACTTGAAGGTTCAATAAAATTGTTCTTGGTGCCCAATGAGATTAAATAACATATCTTTTGCCATACATGCTTCTAAAGCATTCATTTTCTCCTATTTTATCCAATTACCAATTTCCAAGATATCTGTATTTTGAATCAAGAATGTCCAACCTGCATTACTCTGACTTTCAACTGATATTCTGGATAAATCTTTAGTTTTTATAATATTTCATATATTTCATAATTTCATTTTTCTCCATATATAGGTGCAACTGCAAGCAGTTCAAGAAGCGAGTCAGAATGCTCAAGCCTCATCTCAGACGTCGATTGGGAAGAGATGTCTATGAGCAAATACCGCAATGAACTGACCAGTCCAGATGAAGTAAGTATTGCCAGTAGTGCAGAAGAAGAGGAAGAAGAGGGTACGGGCACTAAGGTGGTTCGACGCAAACACCGGCCCAAATCCCTCAACATTAATCGTTCACTCAGTATCACATCATCAGAAGATGAAGGTGATGAAAAACTGAGCAGACTTGACTCAGAAATGAGCAACAAAGAGTCACGGAAGCCCACCGAGAAGGCCAGCAGCAGTACAAAGATCGGTGCCAAAGTCGACCCGGATGACACAATGAAACCCTCGGGTAGTCGGGACGGTTCATGTCAGCACACAGATACAGACCCATCCCTTCAGCAGCAACAACCACCAATACAACAACATCAGCAACAGCAGCAGCAGCAGCATATGGATTACCTGAGTGATGGTAAGCCGGTTCGGAGTCCAAGTCCACCGAGAAGTCCAAGCTGGAGAGAAGGCCTTGAAAGTCCACCATTTTCGCCCCGTAGGAGGGATTCATATCCGGGAAAGAAGCGCGGACATATATCCCCTGTGTCTCCGAAAGATAAGAAATTCCAGTTCTCATATGTGGATACATCTCCGACGGTACACCACCATCATTCAGCAGAAGATATCTATGAGAGCAACCACCAGGGCCTCTCCTACCGGGAAGATGAACTTTCCCCTCCCAGATCCCCCTTGACACCTGATGAGCTAAAAAAAGCCTTTGTGGCAGCCTGTGGCCAGGCTACTCACAGGGATAACTCTAGCAGGGACATTCTTAGAAAATCATCTTCATCAACGTCAGCCTCACCCCCACTGCACCAACGTGAAAATGCTAAGAAGGACAAAGGCAAGTTGGACCTTGGAATGGACACTGAGGTCATTGACTTGGCCACATATGCTGCTACCATTGCGAGTAATACTGCATGCCTGACCTCTCTCAGTGTGTCTCCCACTAATATCCCCACATCAAACATAGAAGGTTCAGAGCTTATATCCCCTGAGTCAATTACTAGTACAGACAGCGCGTCTCCCATTTCACCAAACTACTATGACAGCTCCCAGTCTGAGGAAGTGGAAGATGTCGAACTCGCTGATCCAGCAACAAAATCAATTGACTATCAAGGTACAAAGAGGCAGAAGCAGAGGCCACCGTCCTCTGACTGGTCTCCCGTGATCGACTTGTCTCCTATACTTGACGTTTCTCCCTCGGTCGAAGAAGCCGAACAGCAAGAGATGCTGGCCCAGCAACAAGAGGTTCTCCGTAAGAGGGAATCTGAACTCATTTCCGAATCTGAAGAGGAAGATGAAGAAGGAAGTTCCAGTCCAGAAAAGAAAGACATGGATAAATATGTAATCCCTTCTTTGAGACGCTACATGAACTTTGAAGATATCAGTAAAATCTGTGAAGGAAAGATTCCGGATGAGAAAAAGCTTGAAAGAATAAGTGATATGTTGAGTGATTTTCAGAAGATCAACAGAGACATGGAAATCTTAACATACCCCGTACTGAGATCGAACGGCGATAAGGAACACATCGTTACAACCACCCCGCCAACCATAGCAACGCGTTCGACGACAAGTGATGTTGTTACAACCTTACCCATCGCTCGACCTCCTTCGGCCACTTATACAATGGCACCCATCTCAACTGTTGTAACGACATCGCCGGCTAGCACTACTACTATCTCTATTACAGATGAAGAAGAGGCAGACAGAGTCCTTCATCCTTTACCTGCACGGGGTATGCGCCCCACAATATCCACATCATCCTTATCAGAACTCCTAGATTCAGGAGGTGAAGATTCTGAATTAATGACCGTATGGAATTTGGCACAAGCCAATGTTATATCCAAGCCGACGCCATCTCTCCAGACTTCAACGTCTGTTGTTACTGCCACATCCCTGGCTATTTCTGCTACTGTAGTTACCAGTGCAGCTACTACATGTACTGTTTCTCAAACTGATCGACCAGATGGTCCTCCACCCCCTGCTAAAGGTCATAAACCGGCAATAGCACCAAAGCCTACCCCTCCTGCAAAACCCCAACCACCAGTTCCAGCAAAACCAACTGATGCTGGTGGTGCTGCCAAAACAACAGATGCAAAACCTGAACCCCCACCTCGTGTGCGCCGAAAATTGCCGGAACCAACCCCAGAGATCATGGCTACCCAAAAACCCCCCAAACCCCCAAAACCTGCTCGCACCCCTTCAACATGTTCTCTACTAACCCCAACCACAAAAACTGCACCTGTTAATGTTGTCCCTGGACAACCCACTCGCCCACTGCCTCCACCGCCACCTCCAAGTAAATCGGTCAAGATGCTGACCGAAGCTTTTGAAGTGAAAACTGAAGCTAAACCTCCACCAGAAATTAAACCAAAGCCTCCAGTTCCAGAGAAAAAACCTCCAAAGCCAAGTGTTGAGCCCAAACCAGGGAAAACACTTGCCCCCAAACCAGAGCCAGATAAAAGAAGGTCAAAGGAAATAAAAACAAAAGTGAAACCTTCAGCAAAAGAAGGTGAGCAACCGGCCCCCAAGGTCTTAGACTCACCTGTAACCCCCCCTGAACCAGCAGTTTCTAATCTGAAAAGGGAATACTCAGATAGCACCTCAGTGTCTCCATCATCTTCACCTGATCATGAACTTTACACCTATCCGTCACCTGGAACTCCACCAGAATCAGATGTTTCCCCACCAAAAGCACACTCTCCACCTTCTCCAAGGGGAGAATCAGCAAGAAGTGGGAAGGTATCTTCACGTTCCCAAAGTGATATGAAAAAGTCAAGAGGTACTCCCTACTCTAAGTCAAGTGCGGTAAGTCTATATTACTTCAAATTTTAATGAGAAGAGTGAATGTTACAGAATATAAAAGCAAAACAAAAAAAGAACAAAAGATGACCGATACATATACCAGAAACCTGACATGTCGTTAGCTGAATTTTTTTTGAAAATTTACACTAGATAACAAGTGATCTATTGCTTGGCAAATAGTAACACATTAAAGAGACTATTGGCCATTTTATATGTCAGTGATCAGTAAAGATGGATAAAATTGAAATTTCTGGAGGGTAATGTAGGAGCAACTGGATTTTGAATGAAGAAACTGAATCTCAAATGTTCAACTGTATAACCAATCCAAAAGTACTTTATTTTTTGAAAGAAAAAAGAAAGTTAACTATATTAAATCAAGTGAATTTTTTAAAATTCTTTTTATCATCTTTTCATAGATGCTGTTTTGTGTGATTTGCTTGCCTTGCTAACTGTTCAATGGAGAAGTGTGCGCCTCTATAAAAAAAAAATCGTAATAATGCAATTTTGAGCTATAAGTTTCTGATTACTATATTCAAAACTATATAATTTATATTTGGGTAATAGAATAATAAAGTACCAAAAATTCTATATAATGCATTTCATCATGTGGGGGGGGGATTTTATTTCAATTCTTTTGAAAGATGAAATACTTTACATGGAACTTTTTAAAGTTTTGTTATACGATAACCAGATATTACTCTGATATATACAAATTTATGTATCATATTCTTTCTAAAGAAATAATTGATTTTTTATTTATTAATCTGACAAATTTTTATCAATTTAAATTTTTTTTAGTGTATACCCATGTTTGATTAGACACTCTGTTTATTTTAAACAGTATATTTTTGTCTATCGACCTAAATATTTGAGAAATCTTATTAAAGAAACAGTGGTGTAATGGATAGCAGCTCAGATTTAGGAATCGGAGAGCCAAGTTCAAATTCCAATCAAATCCATTACATTCATTTACATGCTAATACCCTTGGGAAAGGTATGTATCCTCTTCTTCTCCCACCAGCTATGAGTAAATAGCAGGACACATTGGGTTCTGTAACCTGGGATGACAACTAGTCTGCTGCAGAAAAAAATGGCAACTTACTGCAGAAAAAAATTTGCCTAGTCAGTCATGTATCAAAAGATACATGATCACCTAAGCATGTAATACACATGGCACATAACTGATTATTAAAGAAAAATATAATAGCTCTGGCAGGATTCAAACCTGCATCCCTTTCTGCAGGAGAAATTATTGTTGCATTAGTCATTAAATACCATATTCTCCCATAAATTAGTCTACTTCAGGTAATTTTATATAACTATATGATTATAGATAGAAAGTTTCAGGGTAATGGCATCCCTGGAAATGGGGTAATGCTAAAAAGGCATTTGTTAACTGTTGATCTATGTGATGAATAGCCACCTCTGAATTGGCAAAGAATGAGATTATATTGAAAAATATTTGTTTTGCAAAATAAGTATTAGCTTGTTCAGAAAATAATGTCTGATTTTAGAAAAAAAAACATTTTCTTCTTATATAGTTTTATAATAGTTGCACAAAAATATATTACCCATTCATTAAAGTGTCCTCTTTGTTAATTTTATATGAATCTCTTTTAGAATATAGCTGAAAACATTAGATATCCCTCATCTTGAACATGAAAAAATGGGAGATTTATTTACTTATTTATACGAGTTCAAACTTGATCATAAGGCTTCTCAAACTGCTGCCAACATTAAAAGACCATAGAGTGAAGGATCCCTTCATGATCAGACACTGGTTTCTGAAGTTCCGCAGTGGGATACAAGTCTTGAAGATCAAGGTAGCAGAGGGCATCCATCTACAGTTGACAATCAATATCTAAAAACACTATCTGAACTAAATCCATATTAAAATATCACAGAAGTTTCAGATAATGCATCTCAGCATTGCAACAATATTGGGACATCTGAAGGAAATTAACAAAGTGAAGACACTTGATAATTAGGTTAGGTTTCACATAAACTCAGTGAAAGTCAAAGGAATTGACATTTTGCAGCATATTAAATGCTGCATCTGCAAAATTCAGTGGATCCATTTCTTGACTGAATATTGGCTTGTGATGAGAAATAGATCCTTTATGATAAAATTATCAGATGAATGGCTTCATCATGACAAAACAACCAAACACTTGCAAAAACTGAAATTGCACCAACAAAAGATTATAGTGACTGTCTGGTGGTCCACCATTGGCATTATCCATTACAGCTTTCTGAAATTTAACCAAAGCATCACTGCTGAAGTTTACTGCCAGCAACTGGATGAAATGCACATTCAGTTAAGCAAAATGTGACCAACACTTTTTAATTGATGTTCAATTTTGCTTCATGACAATGCTCGACTGCATGTTACCAAGATGACACTACAGAAGCACACTGACCTGGGATATGAGACTTTACCACATCCACCATATTCTCCTGATCGATTTCTCACAGACTATCACTTTTTCAAGAATCTTGACAATTTTTTTAAGTCAAAAGAAATTCTCTTACAAAGATGCAGAAACTGCATTCAAAGATTTCTTGGTGTCCAAACATTTTACAGTTTTATCATAAAGGCATAACATTGTAACTCCATGGCAGAAATGTATAGATGTTCTGGCTTCCTATTTTGAACAGCATAATATATTTTTGTTATAATAGAGGGCTTGAAAGCCACAAATGTAGAGTGTTACTGAAATTAGAGTAGGAGGAAGTAAAGTATGAGGATAAGGAGAATCTATAATGACTGACCCTTGACTTAAAAGGTTAAAAAGAATATAGTGATCAGAGGAACAACTATGCTGGTGCCTGTTCTACAAAGTGGCAGTTTTGGAGGAAAAGCTGAATGGAAATTTCTTCTAACCTTGGCAGGAAATGAGGTTGTTTCTACTCCATGGAAAGTAGCATGTTGTGTGCTCACAATAAAGAGTTGAACTGATAAAACTACAGAATGGACATCATCTAAACATTTGCTATGGAAATAGTGATAGAGTATTGATAAGCTTGCAACAATGTATCTGTGGAAGAGAGATTGCACTGGAGAATATCTTCCCAAGACAGCATAAACAGTTTTAAACTCTGTCAAGCTGGAGAGTGAGAATTAAGCAGCTCTATTCCAGATGTGACAGCAATACTCTATTTTTGGTCTAATCTGATTCATGTGGCAAAAGGAGTCAAATACATCCTGGAGTGATAAAATAAGCCAATCATTTTACTCATATCTTTAGTAATGGATTAATGGATTTTTATATATATATATATATATATATATATATATATATACACACACACACACAAATGTGTATGTGTGTGTATATGTATTCAAAGACTGAATAGTGCTTTTAATCATAGACCTTTTCCCATCCTCAAAATATACATCTCTGTTCAGTTTCATAGCCTAACGTAAACAAATCTATTTTTTTAGAAATGGATTTTTCCTTTATTAATCTGGCATATTTTAATTTATTCCTAAAACATTAATTGATACCCATATTTGCGTAGATGTTCTGTCCATTTATTGAACAGTATTTTTTTTTCATCTAATAGCCTGAATATTTAAATAAATTTATTAATGAATATATATAGATATAATTTCCTCTTGTATTTGTTCCTTATTCTATCATTATTGGATTCTACATACATTCACACTCTACAGTTCAAAAGTTTGAAGCCACCCGCAGAATTAGCATGGAATGAACCTGACAGATGAGTGAAAAAAAATGAAAAAAAGAAAAGATCTCTTAGAGTCATTAAAAAAGGATGGAATCAATTATCAAACTTATACTTTGAGAAACTTTTGCAATGAATGCCAAAAATTTGTGCTGCAGTAATCAGGGCTAAAGGTGGATATTTTAATGAGAGCAAAATTTAATCATAAAATGCTTTTTTTTTCTTTTTGTCATAATAAAATTTCTAATAAAAAATCATGTCTAACTTTTTTAACCATGTATAATAATTTTGTCTTATTTAAAGTACAAAACAACTACTTTTGGTTAAATTTAAAAAAATTACCAGAGGTGGCCTCAAACTTTTGAACTGTTGTGTGTGTGTGTATATATATATATATATATATATATATATATATATGATTAATATGAGTAAGTTTATCACTCAGCTGAGGGTTTCATAGGTGGACCTGTCCATCCACTTTTCAGGAGGTATCAGCAATTTACTGCTTATATTTTTTCTATTTTCTACCTTTTTATATGCATTTAACATTGGTGTAAGTTCTTTCTGTATTTTTTGTGTGCATTTGTACACATGCAGCCATGAGCAATCTATATGACCCATGGAATGTACATATGAATTCCATTTGAGACCTTTTCTATTATTAAGCTGCAGACTTGTTGATACATATTGAAATAGCTGTTTGTATTAGTTTTCTGTATCTGTTTTGATTTTCTCATGCAATTTAAGATGAGTTTTTGTCATACTATTCATATTTTATTATCTTACTCCTGCATTTGATAAAAATTTAACAAGAATATTTTCCTTATTGAATTTTGTGCCACAATTTCTGACAAGTTTATTCTTCAGTTTTATTCAGGCAAAATTCTGCCTTTTTTTCTTTCATTTGTTTAGTTTTTTTGAGAGGCAAGATGGGCCCTTTTTTATCAAAAAGCTTTAAGTTTTCTTGTATTGTTTTAAACTGTTGCTAATAAAAAAAATTAGCTTAATAGCAACTACTAATAAAGGCCGTTATTAATAATGATATAATTGGTGTGTGATTAAGTGGTTAGAATGCTAGCATTCTGATCATGAGACCTATGGTCAATTTGTCAAGGAAGTGACTACATGATAATATCAATTGGGAGAGAATCACAGCATGCACCATTATTCAGAAATGCCTAAAAGCCATACTTCAAATTGACTCAAACTTTGTGAGTGAAAATGGGTAGATAAAACTGTTTGGAAGCTATGCCATCATAATCAAAGGTTTAAGCATATTGCCCTCATTCAACTACTGATCATTCCATATTGTGCACTCTCTTCCAAAAAATGAAACTAAG